CCTGAACTCTGGGCCTGGGTACTATCCCTCAGCTCTTCAGCTCAAGGCTAGTGCTCTACCACTTGAGCCACAGTGCCACTTCTGGCTTTTTTCTTTTTTGCTTATGTGGTCCTGAGGAATCGAACCAAGGGCCTCATGCATGCAAGACAAGTGCTCTACCACTGAGCCACCTTCCCAGCCCGATACTATGTTAAAAATGAACTTGTGAACAGGGACTAGAGGGAAAAACTAGACAGCAGGGAAGGGGAGACATTGTCCAAAAGGAAATGTACTCATTACCTGACTTATTAAACTAACCCCTCTGTATATTACCTTTATAATAACAATTTTTTAAAACCTAAAAAAAAACACCAGGTGTATACAGCACCCAGTGCCAGAGTTCAAGCCCCATGACCAACAAAACAAAACAAAAAAAACAAAAACTTTCCCTTTATGGGGCTGGGAAGGTGGCTCAGTGGTAGAGCGCTTGCCTTGCATGCATGAGGCCCTGGGTTGGATTCCTCAGCACCACATAAGCAAAAAGAAAATAGCCGGAAGTGGTGTGGCTCAAGTGGTAGAGCGCTAGCTTTGAGCTAAAGAGCTGAGGGACAGCACCCAGGCCCAGAGTTCAGGCCCCACAACCGGACCCAAAAACAAACAAACAAAAAAACCCCACCAGGTTCTGGTCAAAGCCAGTCCATGCAGAAAAGTCCATGAGAGTCTATTTCCAATTAACCAACAAAATGCTGGACTGGAGGAGTAACTCAAATGGTGTAACAGTGATAGCTGTGGGTGAAAACTGAAGCAAGAGCACGAGACCCTGAGTTCAATCTCCAGTAGCAGCATGTGTGTGCACATATACACGTGCCCACACACCCACACCCACATACAATTATAGTTATGGATACAGGACTCCTGCTACTGGGCACTTATGATAAAGTTAGCAATCCTCAGAAAGTAAAAGGCCAACATTCAGCCTGCTTAAAATGATCATCACGAGAAAAACATGTTTATAGAGCATTAAGTCAACGATACAAAATTTAACCTGTGACCATAAAGAAAAGTAATCACTGATACATGGTTTGAACTATAATACAGAATCACCCATGGATGCTGAGAATATCTGAGGTGTTTTCATTACTTTTCTCTTCACATTTTATTAAGATAGTTAAGTGAGGGATAAAGGTAAGGCTTACGTGGTAGAACATTTTGCCTAGCAAGGGCAAATCACCAAAAAAAAAAAAAAAAAAAGCTAAGCAAATAATCTATAAATTAATACACAAAATTTTAAAATAAAAATACAAACCACAGACAAAGTCTTTCAGGTCCACTTTCAGTATGTTCTGCCCAGAGAGCCATTCTGGGTGTGCACACCTCACATTTACAGAATGGTGGAAGTTGTTGTCAACCAGCCACGGAAGCAACCATTTCAAATGACAATCACAGAGCAGGCTGCTTGTGTTCAGAACACTGCAGAGAAGAAAAAAGGAGAAGTAACTTTCCTCAGCACTGAAACCTTGCTATACATTCACACATTTTTCTTGCCAAAAATGTTAATCTAACCATAAGAAGACAACGCAGACTGTTAGCTTTGATTCTTCAAAAATGTCTTATGTCACAAAAGACATCAAAAAAGGGGTATACAGGAGTAAGGGAACTATTTAAGGATGGCTAGAGAACTCTTACAAGCAAATACTATGAAATACATAGTTGGGGTGTCTGTTTGTTGAAGATAGGGTATCACTATGGCTCCCATGCTGCTCGTAATTCCAGTTGTGTGTTACTGCCCAGCTCAGATGCATGGTTCTTTTTTAAAAATTAGTCATGGGGCTTGAACTCTGGGCCTGATTGCTCACAGCTCTTCAGTTCAAGGCAAGCATTCTACCACTTGAGCCACAGGGCTACTTCTGGTTTTCTGGAGATTTATTGAAGATAAGAGTCTCATGGACTTTCCTGCCTGGGCTGGCTTTGAACCGCGATCCTCAGATCTCAGCCTTCTGAGTAGCTAGTATGACACATGTGAGCCACTGGCACCAGGTTAGCTGCATGATTCTTGATGGGAAACAAAGTATCTAAATGGCATTTCTTTCTTTTGACTGGAAAAATTTGAGAATAGGCAGTATGTTAGCTATTATTTTATCGATTTTAATTTCCTTAGGTGTAATAATGGTGATATGGTTATACAGAAAAATGCCCATTCTTAGGAAACACACTGAGATACTTAAAGGTGAAGTTTTATGTCCACAACTTTTAAATGGCCAGCAACAAAACCAAAACCAACTATTTAGATACACATATGTTCCTGTGGTGGACACAGCAAAGGTGAGAAAGGGAAATACACATTTGGCCAAAGGCTAATAGCTAATAATTGGTTAACTGGGGCATAAGGTATTTGTTGTATCATCCTTTAAATTTCTGAGGTTTTAACTTCTGAAAAGTTGGTCAAAAGCTAATAATGTAGTTTGGTGCACTGAGAGATCTTTGTTGCAGAAACTACATAATCATTTTCAAATTACTTATCAATACTAAAAGCAATTCAGCCCTGTCGAAATGTGTTCTAAACTTAACCTAAGAACTACTGAAATACTGAGGTCTATAATAGGCATACAAAACATTTGAAAAATCAGTGTTTTCTCTCTGTGACTCTTAAATGTCCTGTCCACTTAGATGCAGAGATTGAAAATAATTTGGGAAACATTATAACTCACATGATCAAAATCCTCATCTAGTTCTAAAGTTTAATAGAAAAAAAAGATTTGATTTACTTAAGTATAGTAATAATAGTAATGGGCCAGAAATCTTTTTAAATTTGCCTTGAATAATTTTACAAAAAAACATATTTTTAAAGAAGTTACTTTTAGAAGCCTCTCCTAACTAAGAAGGCAATCCAGGAACTGTCCATCAGTCTTCATCTTCAGAACTGTAAATTTTTGGAAATCCTTATGGAGCCCCCAAATAGGCAAAGGCATAGAAAATGAAGCTAGATTGTTTTATAACCAAGAAACAATATTTTCCCTTGTATTTTCACTCTTGGGAGCTCCTGAAAGTAATAAAAATTAACTTTGTTTCCAAAGAGTACAACAAACTGAAAATAAAAAGTCCCCAAATACTTTCAAGTTTCTGGGACTAACACTTGACAGGCAAAAGCCAAGAAACCTAAAACAAGGTATCAGATCAGTTTTTAAGGGTGCCTTAAAGTCAACCTTAGTTCCTTTAAACTATTTGATTGCATCAGATTTTATACATTCTTCTCAAATATGACTTTCCAGTCAGTCTTGGCAATACAACCATTGTGTCCTAATAGTACTCCTAATAGTAAATTTATGGAAGCAACTATACTGCCATGAAAAAAAAAAGGTTTCTGGGTAACTGAAGACTTAAGAAAGGGGGGGAAACTGTTTAATTTTGGTCACTAAAGGGTATACTTTGTTAAACTACTGTAAGTTACAGACAGCTTAAGAAAAAACAGAAAGGAATTCTTTTTTTTTTTTGGGGGGGGGTCTGGTCATGGGGCCTGAACTCTGGGCCTGGGCGCTGTCCCTTAGCTATTCAGCTCAAGGCTAGCACTCTACCACTTGAGCCACAGTGCTACTTCTGGCTTTTTTCTTTTTGCTTATGTGGTGCTGAGGAATCCAACCCAGGACCTCATGCATGCAAGGCAAGCACTCTAACACTGAGCCATCTTCCCAGCCCCAGAAAGGAATTCTTTAAATCTGAAAAGAACCAGGACTCTTCCAAACCAAGAGCTGTGATTACCCTTCACTGGTTCATTGAACCTCACTGACTAATTCTTGTTCTGCTTGGTCCCTAGCTCACAGTTTTATAATTAAACCAGTTCCTTCATTAGAGTCGAGCAGACTCAGGTCTATTCCATGAACCTCTGAAAATGAAGTACTTTGGGACTGTTAACTGTTTGCAAAGCTTTGAAGAAATCATGAGGGTAAAACAGTAATTGCAAATACCAAAGTACTTAGAATGGTCATCGTTCAAAGATCTGATGAGTTTACCTGGTAAGTAGTCACTTTGTGGTATGCAATATACCAAAATTATGACTGGTAACACCATGACAGATTTCTCATGAACAGCAGTTGACAAATTTCTATTAACTTGACATAACTTCTCAAATACTTGCTATCATACATAATATAAATATAACCTAACATTTAGCATCTTTTTTTTTTTTTGCCAGCTGTGGACTTGAACTCTGGGCCTGGGCACTGTCCCTGAGCTCTTGCTCAAAAAGAGTGCACTTTACCATTTTGAGTCACAGCTCAACTTCTGGTTTTCTGGTGGTTAATTGGAATTGAGAGTCTCATGGACTTTCCTGCCCAAGCTGGCTTTGAACTGCGATCCTCAGATCTCAGCCTCTGAGTAGCTAGGATTACAGGTGTTAGGCACCGCTGTCCAGCTTAGCATCACTTTTGAAAGTAGCCCAGGCTGGCCTCAAACTCAAGATCTTCCAGCCTTTGTCTTCTAAGTTTATCACATAAATATTTACCACATAATATACCAAGTAAACCTATTAAGTTATATCTTTTTACAGGGTAAGAAACTAATTCTCTTTTTTTAAAGAAATTAATTCTTAATTTTTTCCCAGGAAAAGCCAGGACCCATGACATATACTTGCAGTTCCAGCTACTCAGAAGGCTAAGGCCAGAGAATCACTCCTGTGACATAGGAGGACTGCCTCAGAAAACCAAGGGCTGGGGTGCTGCTCGGCGGTCGAAGGCTTGCCTAGCACATGCAAAGCAGGCCCTCGGGTTTGGACCCAACACCATAAAAAAAAAGACAAATTGATATGAGTCAGCTGGGTAATCTCCACGTTAACTTGAAGTAAGTACAATATAAGGTAGGGGCTGAAGACTTAAGCCTATAATCCTAGCTACTCAGGAGGCTGCAATATTGAGATTTATAGTCAGCCCAGGCAGAAAACTCCTGGAACTCTTATCTCCAATTAACTAGCAAAAAACTGGCTCAAGTGGTAGAACACCAGTCTTGAATAGAAAAAGCCAAGCAAGAGCACAAGGCCATAGTTCAAGCCCCAGCACAACAAAAATAAGACAATATTAAATTTGATTTAGGAAATTTGCTAAGAAGATTTAAAGGTTTACACAGCTGACTGAACAGTATTATGGATAATGATAACCCATTTAACTAAAGTAAAAACAACTTACTTATTTTAATATTGGAAAGACTCAGTACTCTTAAGTAATCAATGACCTGACAAACCCAGACTTGGAGGTACACACCTGAAATCCAAACACAGGAGGATGAAGCAAAAGGATCAAGAGTTGAGCACTGTCCTGACTTACATAGCTGAACTCCTACCCACCTCCCTCCCCTGCAAAAAGGAAACCTGAAAAGTTAAACATATAGTTTTCTTTTCCTGTTATACCTAACATACATCAAGGAATTCACTTTTTTTTTTGGTACGTTTTGTACTTCTGCTGGATTTAGTTTTATAATCTTAAATATTTAGGAGCAATAATAAGGCTGACCAGTAAATTTAGGCAGAAAAAATTGTATATCTGCATTATAGTTAATGTTGACAATTCTGAAGGCATGCTGTTTTTATTAAACCAACAATTTATTTATGAAAGACTTAACCAAGTCATAGGTATTTGAAAGGCACTACAGAGTGTAACTCCTATATATCTGGGATTATTTAAACTATATTTGTGCTCATTTGTCTCTAAAATAATTTCTTTGGGGGGTCCGGTCGTGGGGCCTAAACTCTGGGCCTGGGCGCTGTCCTTCAGCTCTTCAGCTCAAGGCTATCGCTCTACCACTTGAGCCATAGCGCCACTTCCGGCTTTTTTCTTTTTGCTTATGTGGTGCTGGGGAATCAAACCCAGGGCCTCATGCATGCAAGGCAAGTGCTCTACCACTGAGCCACCTTCCCAGCCCCTCTAAAATAATTTTAACAGAACTGCTTCTAAAGAATTTTGTAAGTTAATTTGGCAGTATCACGTAGAGGTAGAAAAGTATTACATTCATAATACACACACACACACATACACACACACACACACAAATATACATTACCATATCAGCAGATGTAAGAGAATTTATAACTTTTACTCTAAAACTTTAGATATTCATTAGTAAGACAGTAATATAAACTATTTGTGCCATCATTTATCCAAATTAATTTCTGTCAAAAAATGGGGAAAACAACCTATTTTCCAAAATCCTAGTCCTCTTTTTATTCATGGTTTTTGCTTTTTACCGTTCAGTTATCTACGGGCAACGGAACTCAAAATATGACATGGAATGTTGCTATCTTAGTGTGACAAACTCTCATGTGCTCCCTCCATCTATGCTGTCCACTGGCATATCACTTAGTGGCCATCCTGGCTATCAGATCAACTACTGCAGGAGTGCCTGCTTGTGTTCAAGTAACCCTCATTTTACTCAATTCAACAGTGCTGCAGAGCACGGAATGTGGAAGGACGGATTAACTCTTCTAC